TATCAAGAGAGACCCAAGGCACATACCAATGGCTCACACCTGTAGTCCTAACTATGCAGGAGGCTGAGATCTAAGGATCAAAGCCAACCCAGGTAGAAAAGTCCATGAGACTCTTATCTCCAATTGACCATCAAAAAGCTGAAAATGGAGCTGTGGCTTAAGTGGTAGAATGCTAGCCTAGAGCAAAAAAAGCTAAAGTACAGTACCCAGTCACTGAGTTCAAGCCCAAGTACAGGTGCACGCGCACACACACACACACACACACACACAGAAAAGAAAAGAAAAAGGAAAAGAAAGAGACCCAAATCCTTGTCCTCGGGGAGCTGATGGTCTAGCAGGTGGAGACTACAAGGAAATGAATGAGTAAAATGCAGGGCATGGCTAAGGAGATAAATAAAAGAAGGAGAAAAGGAAGAAACACACACACACACACAAGCCAGGCAAAGGTGGCTCACGCCTGTAATCCTAGCTACTCAGGAGGCTGAGATCTGAGGATCATGGTTCAAAGCCAGCCCAGGCAGGAAAGTTTGTAACACTCTTTTCTCCCAAAAACCATTCAGAAAACCGAAAGTGGTACGGTAGCTCAAGTAATAGAGGATTAGCCTTGAACTGAAGAGCTGAGGGACAGCGCCCAGGCCCAGAGTTCAAGCCCCATGACTGCAAAAAAAAAAAAAAAAGAGGAAGGGGGTGCATCTATACGCTAGAGGATTGGGTAGGGTTCAGGAAGTAGGTGGATTTGAGGGGCGCTCTCAGGAGGTAAGGGAATAGGCGCAGGTAAGAGGCATACACAGGCAGGCGAAGGCTGGAGACTCAGTCAGAAGCCCCAGAGGGAAAGTCTGGAGAAAAGAGCAAGTGTGAGGATGGAGAAGGGACTGGAATGTTGGCTATGAGGGCTGGCCTTTAGTTTGGGTGAACTGTGGGACCCCTGGGGCTCCTTGATCTTGCTGTGTGACCATCAGACCCTTAAAGGCCGTGTGAGCCCTGCTCTGTTCTGGGGCCACTGAGCTGTGTCAGACACAGCTATGCATGGGCACAGACAGGGCTGCTGACTGATCATCCAGGACTGTGAGCTTCCCCCCAAAAAAACAAAACAAAAAACAAGCCATATCCAGGGGGTCAGTCAGCTCTACTTTCAGAGTATTGTGGTCCCAAGAGACCTTAGGCCTCGCTCCCCCGCTCCCCTCACGCATAGGCTCGGCCACCCCCTGCCCGTTGCAGGCACCCAGGCGGCAGTAACTGGCCGCGGGAGAGAAATTACTTCCCTCTGGAACCTCGGGGCGGAGAAGGCTCCGCACAGGCACAGGACTGGCATACCGATGCCTATAGCTCGCCCCAGGGCCTGTAAAGACTAAGGCTTGGCTGGCTGCTATAGGGAGATGTGGGTCACTGGCCATGAACAGGGGTTCTGGTGGCCCAGAGAAGCATCACAATGGAGACTCTGGTCTGAGCATTGATGGTGGCCACCAAGGTGATAACCAGTAGGTTCTCTCCTGAGAGACCCAAGCCCAAAGATATACATCAACATACACAAACAAGTACACACATAGAGTTACAGCATGGTGTACGCCAAGGCTGTGCAGATGTGTGTCCACAGAGCTGATGTCACTCTAGCTGGTCCCTTGCTTGCAGGCAGGACACTGTTCCAGTGGTAAGACTAAGACATACTTGCTCTGCCCTCTGGGGTTCCCAGCTCGAGGAGAGGAGGAAACAGTCAGGTGATCAAGGATCACATGACCTGACTGTGATGTGGAGAAAAAGAGGGGTCATCTGTGGAGAGGGTTCATCAGGCATATGCCAAAGTCGCCCAGTGTGTTAGAATTGTGCCTCTAACGTAACCAAATTGTCATAGTAACTGTGAAACAGCAGTGGCCAAAGATAGACAAATGGACATGCACAGAGGTGTCTGTCCTTCCATACTGATGCATCACAGAGCCATGAACAGGATGAGGCTCTGCCCCATGCTACAGCATCAAGGAACCTTGAAGAGCCCGTGCTCAGTAAGAGAAGCAGACACAAAAGGCCCCACCATGGTGTGTGGCTCCATTGATAAGAACCATCCAGGGGCTGGGAAGGTGGCTCCGTGGTAGAGTGTTTGCCTCGCATGCATGAGGCCCTGGGTTCGATTTCTTAGCACCACATAAGCAGAAAAAGCCGGAAGTGGCGCTGTGGCTCAAGTGGTAGAGCGCTAGCCTTGAGCTGAAGAGCTGAGAGACAGTGCCCAGACCCAGAGTTCAGGCCTCATGACCGACCAAAAAGAAGAAAAAGAAAAAAAAAAAAGAAACATCCAGAACAGGGAGGAGAAGGAGGAGGAGAAGGTGACCATTCACAGGGGTAACAAATGTTCTAGAACTAGACAGAGATGGTGGTTGCACAACTCTGGATAAAATTGGTGACTAAAATCCAGGGAATTGATACACTGAAGAGTCTATGACTTTTTTTGTTGTCTCTGAATTTTTTTTTCTTTCTTTCTTTTTTTTGTCTGTCATGGGGCCTGAACTCTGGGCCTGGGCGCTGTCTCTCAGCTCTTCAGCTCAAAACTAGCACTCTATCACTTGAGACACAGCACCACTTCTGGCTTTTTCTGCTTATGTGGTACTGAGGACTCAAACTCAGGGCCTCATGCATGTAAGCCAAGCACTGTACCACTGAGCCACCTTCCCAGCCCCCTGAATTTTTTTTTTCTGGTACTGGGGATTGAACTCAAAGCCTGGGTACTCTCCTTATTTTTGTTTGTACATTGTTCAAGGCTGGAGCTTTACTGCCCCAGCCGCACTTCTACTTTTGCCTTTTTGGTGGTTAATTGGAGATAAGAGTTTCAAGGGTTTTCTAGCCTGGGCTGACTTTGACCCACAATCATCAGATCTCAGCCTCCTGAATAGCTGGGATTACAAGTCCGAGCTGCTGGTTCCCAGCATCTGCTGTGTTTTGGGGTCTGTGTTTTTTGCAGGTCCTGGCCTGAAGCTCAGAACCTGGGTACCCTCTCTGACCTTTTTCAGCTTGAGGCCAGTGCTCTACCACTTGAGCCACAACTCCACTTCTGGCTTTTTGGTGGTAAATTGGAGATAAAAGCCTCACAGACTTTCCTGCCCAGCCTAGCTTTGAACATTATTCTCAGATCTCAGATTCCTCAGTAGCTAGGATTACAGGTGTGAGCCATTGGCACCTAGATTCTGCTCTGTTTTTTAATCATCTTCATCAGTTGCCAAATCCGTGTCTCCTTCTCCCGCTCGGTCCATTGGTCCCCTAAGTCCTTGTAGTAGGGCCTCTGAGACTCAAGGTTGTCCAGTGTGGAGTGGGGGAATCCCTGGGCCTCCCTGTGGTGCCCAGCATGGCAGCATCTATCTGTCAGTCTATCCTCTGCTGGGCCGGGCTGGAGGCGCACACAGGGCCCTTTGTGCAGCTCACCCGCCTCATTAGAAGGCAGCCCCCGTCCCCGGGCCCAGCACGGCTGAATTAATGGACTGAGAGCATTGCCTCTCGGCTAATTGTGCCCTAGACACTGTAGCGTGGCGGGTGGGACACAGGCAAAGATCAGCTCTGAGGACTACAGCCCATCCGCCAGTCACCTGCCAGCCAGGGGAACCCAGCCTCTCTGCCTTGGTTCCCTGATCCCAGGACATAGCTGGAGTGCAGATTCCAAAGACCATCCAAGACGTGCTTTCTTCAGAAAAGATTAAAGAGTTGCCCGGCTCCCACTTTGGAGGCAGGGAAACTGAGTCACACAGAAATTGTATTTTGGCATCACAGAGACCCATCTTGGAACAGAGACCTCCTCCAGCCCAAGCCTGGATCAGGAACAACAGAGTCATGAGCAGCCCTAGATCCCAGGATTTCTGCGTGCACAGGTGGGTAAGGTGATAGAAATTTATTTTTGTGTCAATACTTGGGCTTGAACTCAGGACCTGGGCATTGTCTCTTCGTTTTTTTCATTCAAGGCTGATGCTCGATCACTCGAGCCACACCTCCACTTCTGGCTTTATGCTGGTTAATTGGAAATAAAGAATCTCACCAGATTTCTTACCTGGGATGGCTTTACACTGCCATCTTTACATGTCAGCCTTTTAAGTAGTTAGGATGATAGGTGTGACCTACAAGTGCACAGCTTGATGGACTTTTTTTTTTTTTTTTTTGGCGGTGGGGGAGATTTGTTATGAGGCTTAAACTCAGGACTTGGGCATTATCACTGAGCTCTTTTTGCACAGTAGTGCTCTTTGAGCCACAGCTCCACTTCTGATTTTCTGGTGGTTAACTGGAGATAAGAGTCTCACAGACTTTCCTGCCCAGACTGGCTTCGAACCGAGATCTTCAGATCTCAGACTCAAGAGCAGATAGGATTACAGGTGTGAGCCACTGGTGCTCAGCTTTTGATGGATATTTCATTTTGTTTTGTTTTTGGGGCCTGGTCGTGGGGCCTGAACTCTGGGCCTGGGTGCTGTCCCTCAGCTCTTCAGCTCAAGACTTGCGCTCTACCACTTGAGCCACAGAGCCACTCTGGCTTTTTTCTTTTTGCTTATGTGGTGCTGAGGAATCGAACCCAGGGCCTCATGCATGCAAGGCAAGCACTTGCTCTACCACTGAGCCACCTTCCCAGCCTCTTGATGGATATTTCTAAGTTCCTGCTATACCCAGAGTTGGCTGGGCACAAACCAAACCCTAAGTCCTTCTGGGGATCCCCAGAAGGCAGATAGTAGTTTCCAGCGACCATATCCAAGGATAGATAAGAGCATGGCACCACTAAATGCTAGGGCCAGGTCTCATAGACACCATAGTGACTGCAGGTTTCTTTTGGCTCATGGTGTAGGTCCTATGGCCTAGATACTTCCTGGTTCCCTGGACCAGTAAAGACCCATCACCAAATCCCAGTGCTCCCACAGTTAAAACTGATGCCTCCCCCCAACCCTAATCCCAAAACACACCTTTGAAGTTTATGCATTTTATTATAAAAAAATACAGAATCCAAAGTTGATTGTGATGGGAAGGGCAGGCCCCGCCCCCCACCCCACAGGCCCTACAAAAGCCCCCGTCCCGTCCCTTTGCATGGATGGGCTTGAGCCGTCTCCTGGCGGCTGTACACAATATATATTTATATATAATATATATAAAACACAGAGTCAGGAAAGACGGGTAGAAATATGAAATCTGTAGAAATGTGTTGTTTCCTTCATTAAATCATCTTCGAGGAGGAGTTCTCTTTTTGGTTGTAGGTCCCCCCTCCTTTTTGTTCTATCTTCTTTTCTTTTCTTTTTTTTCTTTTCTCTATTTTTCCCTATAGAAACATTATTAGGTCACAGAGTCGACAGAGTCGAAGGGGGTGGGGAGGAGTCTTGAACAGACGAAACGAGCTTATTGCGAAGTGTTGGCTATTCTAAAAAGTTCCCCCACCTCCCCCCACCAAAATATAAGACTCCCCCCTGACAAAAGGTTGAAAAAAAAAAAAAAAAGAACAAACAAACCAAGATTTCCAGTCCATCCTCAGGAATACATTAAAAATAAATCACAGTATATACTTGCTGGTTCTATTTACAGAAATATAACGTCTTTCCAGCCCTAGAAATGAGATGGTAGTGCGGGATGGAGGGCCCAGGTGTGGGGGACGGGGAGAAGGGGGCTTGTTTGCACAGGCTAGCCAAAGTGGTTCTGAGAGTTGGAGGGGACAGCTGTGGCTCAACCGTGGCTGGAAAATAATCCCCCCAAGAATGGCGGGGAGGGCGCTGAGATGGAGGCCTGATGTCCCCTAGACCACGACGAGGGGGTTCATACTGCTGCCTTCTTCTGGCTCAGGCTTGCTTGTCCCAGGGTGCCTGAGGGTCGGCCAGCATTTTGTGGAGCACAGGAGCAGGCCGGTCCAGTGTCCCCTTACCCTCATTAATTCTGTTTCCCAAAGTCACCGGCAACAGTGGGGAATAAATTAAGTTAAAAAACACAAAGTCTTTCTTATCCAACCATGAAAACACACAAAAGAACAATTGCCAAGAAGGGCCGGGGTTCCTCAGCAGCCCCTCTGGAGGAAGGTGGCCAGGCCTGGGGCCATCCCAGTCCCCCTTGGGTGTCGGGGGGTCCTGGCTGCCCCTCCAGTGGGCAGCACCACCAGGGAGAAGCAGCGTCTATTTGGTCTCGGAAGCGGCTGTGGTCATGGGCAGGGCTGAGGTCGCAGGTGTAAGTGGGTCCTGGTGGAGCCAGCATCCTTCAGGGCCAGGACTAGGAGCCCAGGAGGGTCCAGAGCACAGGGACGGTGCTAAGGAAGAGGTGGCAGCTGCCCAGGCCACTGCAGGAATTGTTACTGGTGAAGATTGGTTCGGGGGCCTCATACAGGGTCTCATCTGCAGGAGACACAGAGACAAGCCCGTCAGATCAGCCTGGGCCTGGCTGGAGACCTCAGCCTTCACTGCAGAAGTTATGAAGCTGGGAAAGGACCGCAGCTTTAGGGAAACTGAAGCCAGGCACAGGTACCTCACACATAGAATCCTAGCTAATCAGGAGGTTGAAATCTGAGGATCATGGTTCAAAGCCAGCCTGGGCAGGAAATCCAGCAGTGAGATTTCTTTTTTTTTTTTTTGGGTCCGGCCGTAGGGCTTGAACTCTGGGCCTGGGCGCTGTCCCTCAGCTCTTCAGCTCAAGGCTAGCGCTCTACCACTTGAGCCACAGCGCCACTTCTGGCTTTTTTCTTTTTGCTTATGTGGTGCTGAGGAATCGAACCCAGGGCCTCAGGCATGCAAGGCAAGCATTCTACCACTGAGCCAATCTTCCCAGCCCCCAGCAGTGAGATTTCTATCTCCAATTAACCACCAAAAAGCTGGAAGTAGAGGTATAGCTCAAGTGGTAGAGCATCAAGCCTTGAGTGAAAAAGCTAAGTGAGAATGTAAAGCCCTCAGTTCAAGCCCAGTACCGAAACGTATCAGCGAGCAAGGGAGCGCGCGCGCGCACACACACACACACACACACTCGTGCACGTGCATGCATGTGTGTGCACACACAGAGAAAATAGAAACTGAGGCTCAGGATGGTGCCAGCTGCAGTTCTGGCTGATAGTGTTCTGGGACCTAGCTGACTACAAGCTCTTTAGACTACTGCCATCAGTTGAGGACATAGTGGGGGAAATCTGGGTCCTGCTTGCTTCCCCCACACCCGACCTCCCCACCAGCACTTACTAGTCGGCCGTACGTAAACCTTCAACCGCAGGCAGGGCCGGTCTACAGCGTTGGGAGGTGTGGCAGCTGGAAGAAAAGGGACAAGGGACTCTTGGTGACTGAGGTCAACTAAGGCTCTATTACCATTTCCCCCAGTACTGGTGGCCCAATCCTGACCATCAAAGCCCCAGACACAATACCTTCTGTTTCCCAGCCGAAACTGCACACTGCCCCTGATGAGCCTACATTGTCTGTGTCCTCATCCTGCTGCTCCTCAGAAGTTGAGATTTAAGTGTTGAATATAGCTGGGTGCTGGTGGCTCACCTCAGGACAGGCGTGTGCACATGCACACGCGCACACACACACACACAGAATGTTGATATATTTGTTTTCAATTGATCAGCCAAGAAAAAAAAGGAGTATAGCCAAATGATTGTGACCAGTTCAGTTTTTTGTTTTGTTGGTTGGTTGTGAGGCTTGAACTCTGGGCCTGGGCACTGTCCTTCAGCTCTTCAGCTCAAGGGGAGCACTCTACCACTTAAGCCACAGCTCCACTTCTGTTTTTCTGGAGGTTCATTGGAGATAAGAGTCTCATGGCCTTTCCTGCACTGGCTTTAAACTGTGATCCTCAGCTCTCAGCCTCCTGAGTAGTTAGGATTATAATCAGGAACCACTAGTGCCCGGCATGATCAAGTTCTAATTCTTGTTCTCTGAGGGCATGAATGAATCCCACTTCTGAAATGGTACTGAAATGGGCTGAAATGGTACATAATTGTGCTCTGCAGATGATTCCTTTTTTCTTTTTTTTTTTTAAGGGTAAGGGACCAAGGACAAGATCTCATTATCTTGCCTTTTTATTATTATTATTCCTATTGTCAAGGTGATGTACAGAGGGGTTATAGTTACATAAGTAAGGTAATAAGTACATTTCTTGTCAAACTTGTTACCCCTTGGTTTCTTTCTTTTTTTTGGTCAGTCGTGGGGCTTGAACTCTGGGCTTGGGCGCTGTCCCTGCGCTCTTCAGCTCAAGGTGAGCGCTCTACCTCTTAAGCCACAGCACCACTTCTGGTTTTCTAATGGTTTTTATTGGAGATAACAGTCTTATGGACTTTCCTGCCCGGGCTGGCTTTGAACCGTGATCCTCAGATCTCAGCCTCCTGAGTAGCTAGGATTGTAGGCGTGAGACACTGGTGCCCGGCTCTCTCTTTTTTTTTTTTTTTTTTGGTGTGTGTATGTGTGTGGTACAGGTCCTGGGGCTTGAACTCAGGACCTCAGCTTTTTTGCTCAAGGCTAGTGTTCTAATACTGTGAGCCACAGATTCACATCCAGCTTTTCAGTGGTTAATTGGATATAAGAATCTCAAGGACTAGCCAGGCGCTGGTGGCTCACGCCTGTAATCCTAGCTACTCAGGAGGCTGAGATCTGAGGATCATGGTTCAAAGCCAGCCCAGGCAGGAAGGTCCGTGAGACTCTTGTCTCCAATAAACCAGCAGAAAACCAAAAGTGGTGCTGTGGCTCAAGCGGTAGAGTGCTCGCCTTGAGCTGAAGAGCTGAGGGACAGCGCCCAAGCCCAGAGTTCAAGCCCCTCCACCTACCAAAAAAAAAAAAAAAGAATCTCAAGGACTTTCCTGCTCAGGATAGCCTTGAACTGCGATCCTTAGATCTCAGCTTCCTGAGTAGCCAGGATTATACCTCCAGCACCTGGTTCCTTTTGAGTTAATTGAGGAGCTGGTGAGGAAACCCAGGGCCCAATGCGCGCTAGGCAAATACTCCACCAAGGAACTGTGTCCCAGATTGGGAGTCATTTTTCCATCTGCAGTGATAAGAGCCAGTGACTCATGGCAGCAAAGCACAGGAGGCAGATGTCAGCCAAGGCCTCAGGCTAAGACGAAGAATGTCATGCCCCTCATATTGCTCTTTGCTCCTTGGCCGCTGGCTGTTGCCTGGGAGGGGCCAGGGTGTCCTTAGTGTCAGCTATGAAATCAGGAGATGGAGAAGAAATCCCTGACCCTGGCGGGTGACTGACAGGTATGGTCTCCAAGTCTATGTGATAGAGCTGGGACCCCCACCCCACCCCCCGCCATGGCCTGGCCGCCATGCTCACCTGCCCCCCTCCCCAATATGTCAGGACACAAAGATAAAAAACCACATAATAAAAGTAGCATTCGTCACAGAGATAGGAGGAATAATTACAATAATTATCTTCATGAAACTCCCTGTCTTGGAAAGAAAAATGTAATTTTTTTCTTATATTATGAGACTTAATTTGAACACCTTCTGCCCCTTCCCCCACTCGCTTCTTCTCTGAATTAAAAGAGAAAAGGAGCCAGGTGCTGGTGGCTCACGCCTGTAATCCTAGCTACTCAGGAGGCCGAGGTCTGAGAATCACGGTTCAAAGCCAGCACAGGCAGGAAAATCCGTGAAACTCTTAGCTCTAATAAACCACTAGAAAACCGGAAGTGGCGTTGTGGCTCAAGCGGTAGAGTGCTCGCCTTGAGTTGAAGAGTGCAAGGGCAGCGCCCAAGCCCAGAGTTCAAGCCCCACAGCCGACCAAAAAAAAAAAAAAAAAGTGAAAAGGAGGGCTGGAAATGTGGCTTAGTGGTAGAGTGCTTGCCTAGCATGCATGAAGCCCTGGGTTCAATTCCTCAGTACCACATACACAGAAAAAGCTAGAAGTGGCAATGTGGCTCAAGTGGTAGAGTGCTAGCTTTGAGCAAATGGAGTTCAGGAACGGTGTCCAGGCCCTGAGTTCAAGCCCCAGGACTGGCAATCAATCAATCTATCAATAAGGAAGGGAGGGAGGGAAGAAAGAAGGGAGGGAGGGAAAAACAAAACCCAACTAGAACAGAGAAAGGAAACATGAGGCCTTGTGAAGTCTAATTTGACACAGCCGTAGCCAGGGTGGCACAGCTCCTCGCCACACCTTATTTCATGCTAGACCCCCACACCCCCGCTAGATGCTGAGTAACAGACCCCCTGGTCTCAGCTCTTCACCCTCATTCCGAGCAGAAGTGCGGGGACTCCCCTGGAGTTCTTGTCTGCTGGAGTACAAGTAGAGATGCCGCTGGACCCATGACTACTGCTATGTACCCCCTTCTCCCCCCCTCTCTCCCCCCCTCCGCCATTAGCCTCATGAAAAGGGAGGTTCCCAGTGCATCTCAGGGACGGGCTGGCCTTTCCACAGCCTAGGTCACCGAGGGACCCCACTGACCAACTGCCAAGAAACTCTCCCTCCTTGAGGGCTCTTGGAGAGATGGGGTCGACAGGGACCAGGAGACCTCTGCCTATCTGGGATGGAACGGAGACTCCCCTCTACCACTGGGGTCTGTTTGCCTCAGTTTCTCCCCTCAGCACTGGGAGAGGGTCGAGTAGATGTCTCTGGTTTCTGATTTAAGGTGGCTGAGGATGTGGTTCCTGGGACTGTGTGGGGAGGTTAAGCCTCAGACCCACCCTGAGCCTCAGTCTCCCCCACCTGCCAGTAGCCTGCACTGTCTGAGGACCCTGGGTGGTCACAATGGTCCTGATTACTCACAAATGTAGTAGTACTCGTGGCCAGGACGGAACTCAAAACCCAGGGAGAAGGGCGTGAAGAGCTGGAACTTCTCGGAGAACTTGAGTGGCCCGCCGGGCGCTGCTGGCCGGTTGCACTCCCAGCGCTTGAAGCCACGCTGCCGATGGTCACAGGATGCGTGACCCTCGCCGTTGACCATGTACAGCACGTAGTGCTCCATGCGCTCCGCTGGTGGCAGGGGGGCCCCATAGTGTGGGCAGTAGATATCCAGATAGTCGTTGATGCTCACCTCCACCGTGTAGCCTCCGCCGTCGCCCGCCACGCCCATGTGGAACCTGCCAGGAGACAGGCGGCTGGTCAGTGGACACAGAGAACAGAATCAGGGAACCCTCAGGTACTCATGGGCTCCAGGTCGGTGTCCATAGAGCCTGGTATCGGCTTCCTTTCCAGCCAGCTCTAGGGCTCAGTGTCTCCAACGCCAGCCTGTTTTCCCTGTTTTGCCCCGGCCCCCTCCATCCACTCCCTTCCAGGCCCCACCCTCGTCCAGCTCAGTGCCCTGAATGAGACAAGCACTGGGGCTCACACCTGTAATCCTAACTACACAGGATGCTGGGACGTGAGGATGGACGTTCAAAGCCAGCTCAGGCAGGAAGGTCCATGACCCTATCGCCAACTGACCACCAAAAAGTTGGAAGTGGAGCTGTGAGTCACGTGGTAGAGCGCCAGACTTGAATGAAAAAAGCTCAGGGAAAAACACCCAGGCCCTGAGTTCAAGCCCCAGTATTAGGTCAAGTGTGTGCGTGTTCTCGCATGCGTGCACGGGCAAGCACGCACACACGCACGCGCGCACACACACACCTTTTGAATGTGGTTAGACTCCAGTGCCCTTTCTGTATTGTGACCCCGGTGTGTCTCTCACCCTCTCTGAACATCTCTCCAACCCTGAGACCCCAAGTTGTCCTTCGCTTTCAAGCCCCTGGATTTGGAAGCTTCATCCTGGATACCAACTGTCCCCCGCCCACACCTGCCCAGCCTCCAGCTTCTACCCTGGAGGTTGCTTGCCCAACCTCCCCGCAGCCCGGGAGCCCCGTCCTCCCTCAGCGGCCCTGACCCACACTCATCTTGGAGGACGGAGGTCAGCTGGGGGCTGCACTGCATGGAGGCTCCCCTTCCATCCCTGCCTCCGGCTACAGCGGCAGAGCTCTCAGATCTCCCGGCTGTCCCCCGAGCCCTGTCATGTAACCGCTGGCTGGCCAGGGGGCCAAGGGACGCCCTGTAGAACCTCATTAGCACATAAAAGACCTGCCAGCCACTCTGCTTGGCCTCCTCCCTGCACAGATGGGAAACTGAGGCCTAGCCAGGGCTGCTAGGGGGTGGAGGATGACACTCTGACCCCAGCCCTTCCTGGACAGCATGCTGGTGTGCTAGTAGCCTGTAACTGGTAGAGTCTGGGGCACCGAGAGTCTCATAGTGCTGGACTAAAGCTCAGCTCTTCAGAGCCTGTTTCCTTACTCTGCAGGGGACTGAGGAAAGGCCTGAGATATGTCTGAGGTTAGGTGCAGGTTCTAAGAGGACAAGCTTATCTGGGAGCCGGTGGCTCCCGCCTGTAATCCTAGCTACTCCGGAAGCTGAGATCTTAGGAGCACAATTCAAAGCCAGCCCAGTCAGGAAAGCCCAGGAGACCAAAAGGCTGGAAGTGGAGCTGTGGCTCAAAAGTAATAGGGTGCTAGCCTGGAGCAGAAAAGCAAAGGGACAGTGCCCAGACCCTGAGTATCTCATAATCAATCAATCAATATAAAAGGACAGGCTGAGATTTCACCTCATTTGGGCTAGGGTGTCCTCCAGATCTCACCAGAGTTACTGAGGTTTTCTTTTTTTGTCGATACTGAGACTTGAACTCGGGGCCTGGGTACTGGTCCCTGTGAGCTTTTTAGTCAAGGCTGTGTCCTACCACTTGAGCCACAGCTCCACTTCCAGCTTTTTGGTAGTTAATAGAAGATAAGAGTCTCACAGACTTTTCTCCTGGGTTGGCTTTAAACTGCAATCCTCAGATCTCAGCTTCCTGAGTAGATGCCATTACAGCATGAACTACTGGTACCTATCCTGAGGGTTTGTTGTTGTTGTTTTAATTTTATTATCAAGGTGATATACAGAGGAGTTACAGTTACATATGTAACTGTAAAATTGATCACAAATGATTCTTCAGCATTTTTGCTCTTTTTATTTCGCAGGTCCTGGGACTTGAACTCAGGGTCTGGGCACTGTCCCTGAGCTTCTTTGTGCTCAAGGCTAGTGTTCTACCATTTCAGCTACAGCGCCACTTCCTGAGGTTTCTGTAAGAATGAAAGTCTCATTGCTCTCTAGCAGCATGGGATTCAAATATTCCCTTTGACCCTCAGTTTAACTCATTCCCATAAAGATCAACACTCACCCACCCCCCCTCAAGAGAACCTGGTTGTGAAGGGCCCTCTAGAAATAGATCTTGAAGTCAAGGCCAGTGTCCCTCCCATCCTACCTGTGTTCCTATGATGTCTGTGTCTGACACCGGAATGTTCTTTCTTTCCCATTTGGAGGCAGAGTCTGCCCTGACGATTTAGAGGGGCTCTACAAGGTCTTCCTAGGGCAGCAAGGGCCCACCAGGCTCCTGATCTCGCAAAATCCATACAAGTTCCAGGGCGCCAGCTCATACCTGTCATCCTAGCTACTCAGGAGGCCAAGATCTGAAGATCACAGTTCAAAGCCGGTTCCTGTAGGAAAGGCTATGAGACTCTTATTACAAGTTCACACACATACACACACACACACACACACACACACACACACACACACGGCCAGCATCCAGGCCCTGAGTTCAAGCCCCATGACAGACTACACACACACAAATTCCAAACAAAGTGGATTTCCAGATTGTGTCCAGCTGGCTCAAAACCTTCCATTTCTCCTCAATGCTCAAAACACAATCCAAGGTCCTCACTGGCCATGTAGCCAATGTCCCATTCTCAGGGACTTGTCTCCCACAACTTAGTCCCTTCCAGCTCAATCAGCCTTGGTTCCCCAAGGGCCTTGGCACATTCTGCTTCCATGGTCTAGAAAACCTCCATTCCCCAATATGACAATTTGTGTGTGTGTGTGTGTGTGTGTGTGTGTTGGTACTGGGGCTTAAACAAAGCCTGGGCTCAGTCCCTGAGCTTTTTTACTCAAGGCTGGTACTCTACCATTTGAACCCTCCTCCACTTGTAACTTCTGCTGGTTATTGGAGATAAGAGTCTCATGGACTTTCCTGCCCAGGTTGTTTTCAAACTGTGATCCTCAGATCTCAACCTCCTGAGTAGCAAAGATTACAGACTTGAGCCATCCGTGCCAGGCTTCCCAATAGACATTTCTACACCCTCACATCTGCCCACCCCTCTGATATAACAGTGCTCAATACTTGCTTGTTGAGCTGGGAAGGGGCTCAGTGGTAGAGCGCTTGCCTTGCATGCACGAGGCCCTGGGTTCGATTCCTCAGCACCACATAAGCAAAAAGCCGAAAGTGGCGCTGTGGTTCAAGTGGTAGAGCGCTAGCCCTGAGCTGAAGAGCTGAGGGACAGCGCCCAAGCCCAGAGTTCAGGCCCCAAAACCGGACACCGCCCCCCCCCCCCCAAAAAAAATACTTGCATGTTGAGTTAAAAGGCTTTTTTTTTTTGCTTTCATTTTGTTGGTCACAAGGCTTAAACTCTGGGCCTGGCGCTGTCCCTCAGCTCTTCAGCTCAAGGTGAGCGTTGTACCACTTGAGCCACAGCGCCACTTCCAGTTTTCTGAGTGGTTTATTGGAGACAGGAGTCTTAAGGACTTTCCTGCCCTGGCTGGCTTTGAACCGCGATCCTCAGCTCTCAGCCTCCTGAGTAGCTAGGATTACAGGTGTGAGCCACCGGCGCCCAGCTTAAGGCCAATGTTTTGAAGAGTTAGGAGTTGCAGGTAGCACCCCAGGCAGGTTGGCCCTTGGGGAAGCCCTCTCCCCACACCGTGCTGGCCGCCTGAGCCGGCCTTTTTTTTTTCCCCTTCCTGACTCTAAAATAGCGACGGCCTTGCTGTGTTGGCATTCCCGGTTCCAAGTTGGCAGCTGAGCCAGGGGCGGGCAGGCGCCTTACCCCTGCTCAGGGTGGCGCCTACATAGAAGGACACAGAGAGGGGTTCTCCACCCCAAAACCCATCCTGGTGTGAGCAAAAGAAAGCTTTGTCGGGCTCAATCAACCTGGATATGCAAATGCTAGTGGAGATTCTCACTAAGGGGTTAATGACTGATTTGAGATCGCTTGTTTCCAACAGGGCCTTCCCTACAAGCGCCTCATACCTGTTCTGCCACTGGTCCAGGGTCAGTGTCCACACTGGGACAGCACCCTCCCTTCCAGAGTCCCTGGGGCTCTGTACCTCACCCTCCTCAGGCCACCTCAACCTTACCCCTGCCTCCTCCTGGGTACCACCCGGCCCGCAGCTAATGAACTTCAATCTCTGCCTGTGAAGTCATTAAACACTAATAGCAAAGCAACTAATTAGGAGTCTCTCCCAAAACTGGAATGGGGGTGAACGGGGCCACCTTCCCAGACTGGGAACTGAGGCACCACACACTACTGGGGCCGGTGACCAGGGTCCCCCGTGGGTGGGTGGTGCACTCTGATCCCCCGTGGCACCCAGCAAGTCGTGTATGGACTGCTGTGTGTTCATCCCTGGGTGGGGTGAGCCACTGTAAAGGATCCGTGTGGGCCCAAGAGTAGGGTCCCGATGCCACGTTGGGACATACCGAACCCCAAGTTTTAAGGAGCTGAAGACAAATCCTCCATCTTGGTCTGGCCAGGATGCCAACTGTAATGAAAACTTCCAGAGGGTCCAAGACAAGGCTGAGTAAAGAGGATAATGGTTAAAAAAAAAAAAAAAAAAAAAGATAAAGAAAGGTAAACTGAGGCAAGGGCATCAGTGCCAAAAAATTGGAGGAGACAGGGCGGTAGCTCAATAGTGAGTGCTTGCCTAGCATGAGCTGAGCTCCAGGTTCATCCCTAGCATCATGAGAAAAAAAAAAAAAGGAGAAAAGAAAAGAAAGAAAAAAGAGAGAAATCGACTGAGTGAGAACAAAATGCCAGCGGCAGGCTTAGAGACAGGGGGGGCCAAGGGGCAGGCCAAGAAGGTACGCTGTCCTCCGTTACCTCTCTCAAGAAGCCAGGTTGTCCTTGACCCTCCTTGGCCAGTGCAAGGACCCCGCCCCCCCCGCCCCAACAGCCAGTGTTTCTGGTGGCCCTGCATGACCCACTGTCTCTCACAGCTGCTTTGTCCTTGAAATGGGGGCACAGGCCCCAGGATAGGTGGGTTGGGGGACATGGAGCAATCACTCAAGGAGACCAGGAAACAGTGGGCACATAGACTGAAGTCCCCCACGCTGATAGGACACAGGCTCAGGAGAGGGGCTGAATCCCCATCAGCACGGCTGCCCACAGAGTTCAAACGTCTGCTTGAGGTTAAATCAAAAATCCCCCAGGCTGGTCGGCTGGCCCGTGCCGGCCTTTAAGCCGTATGTCTAGAACAGTGTCTGCATGGTGGTAGGGGCAAGCCTGGGATATGGCTCTGTCCCTTTCCCCAGCATGGCCCTACCAGCTACGAGACACATTAGAACATTCTTCTCCCTGCATTCACAGAGAAAACATCCCTGCAAAACAGCGACATTGAGTTGGGAGCCAGTGGTTCATGCTTTCATCCTAGCTACTCAGGACGCTGAGATCTGAGAATGGTGATTCCAAGTCAGCCCGAGCAGGAAAAGCCCACGAGACTCTTATGTCGTTATCAAGCAAAAAGCCGGAAGTGGTATTGTGGCTCAAGTAGCAAATTGCTGGCCTTGAATGAAAAAGCTAAGGGGCAGCGCCCAGGCCCCTGAGTTCAAGCCCTAGTACTGGCACAAAAATAATTAATTAAGTAAGTAATTAAAACAAGAACAGCAACATTGGACACCACTCTGATGGCTCCATTTCCAGGAGAGGGGGCCACTGTCAGAATAGGATGGAGGAGTAGAATGACAGAAGGAAGCTCCCAGCCCCACTGGAAACTGTCACCCAGGTCCTGCTGTATACCTGCCATTCCATTCCCAGACCTCCCTGCCAAGACCTGAGAGGTCCCCTGCAGGCCCACCAGGGGATGAGTACTGGGCGGAAAGAGGCCAGAATGACCAGTGGCCCCTGCCCAATCCTCAACCCCTGAGAGAGACCAGAGACTCCAGTCTGACATCTCTTGGAAGGGCCAACGGATCCCAGCACCAAGCCCACTGGCTTTCTGTGCAAGCTGAGGCTGCGAGGGTCCACTGTGTGGGTAAAGGAGGCTGGGGAGCCAGGATGCGGTGCCCACATAAGCCAGGAAGCCAGAGAAAGGGAGAGCAAAAGCCGCTGGGAGAGACAGAGACACAAAGCCAGCCAGTCTGGTGCCTGGATGGTGTGGTCACTGTGAATTTGGAACCTGGTTCCAAACAGGGACATGCTGGCTGGCTAACACCTCCTCTTCTGACCACAAGAGCTGCCTCAGTTTCCCCCTGAAATCCTTGGATCATGGCTTGGTCTGACTCATCCCCGGCTATGCCACCGCCTGTGTCTTGCTCAGTCTCCCAGATCGTAAAAGCCCTAGATTTCCCCCAGCTCGCAGCCCTCACCATCTCGCCTTGAATTTTCCGGGCTACCACTTTCTGAACCCCTTAAGCCTGAGGGTGTGATCTCTCACACAAAAATTAAAAAAAAAACAACAAAAAACAACAACAACAAAAACCCTCATGCGGCAAAACACTGCATTGTCCCCTTCGAAGCCAGTTCCCCAGAGGCCGAAGCGGCCTGCAGAGCCACCAAGACCCCAGGATTCCAACCACCTCTCTCAGGGACCAAACTGCCTCCCCCCCACCTCATATTCAGAGAAAGCTCCTGCTGCCCACACCAAAAGCCTCTGACCCACGTCCACTGGGCTCATCTGGGTCACAACCTGAGCCATCCTCTGTGATGCCTGCTCTGGGTCTCAATGGCCCGTCTGCTCTTCCCTGTGCCCCACAGCCAGGTCACCACTGTGGACCATCCTGGTGATGCTGTGCCCACACCGCAGGCCTTGGGCAGCCAGAGTGGACCCCATACTGGTATCCTCCTATGCCAACAGACATACGGTACACACATGTGTCCCACGCTCCAACATGTACACACACAGATATTGCATACAGATTCACACACACATTGCGCACACTCACATAGCCTCACACATGCACGGCACACACACACACAGCCCTGTGTGTGGCTCCACACGGCAGGCTTTTGGTTTAGATACCCTCATGCAAATGTGGGTGCAGCATACATGCAGACACGCAGCCTACTCCATGCACAGCCACGCAGACATGCGTGAAACACACTACAGCCAAGGCTGCCATGTGTAGGCAGGCTCATGGGGCTGCCTGCAACAATCATGTGTGTGCCCACATGGACATGTACCCCCAGGGTCTCTGCGTATTACGGACAATAACACGCAGCTACACGCAGCCACCCAGCTCAGTGAGACCCCCCCCCAGATACATCTTCCCATTCATGGACGCATGTAAGCCGCCATGCAAACCCAAGCGGGCCAGGGCTAGGGATGTCCCTAGCCGGCGCCAGTGCAGCTGAGGACCGGCCCAGGGGCCAGCCCAGGGTGCCCAGCCAGCCAGGTCTGCTCAGTGAGGATACAGGACGGGTAGCTGAGCCATCTGACAGGACCCCACCTAAGGCATCTGAGCAAATGGGTGCAGGGCTTTCTCTTGTCCACGCCATCCACGGCCACACTTCCCAGCAGGGAGAACATAATTTGGGCAACAGCCATATACTTATTACCTCAGTGCAGGTACCGGCCAGCCGGGCAGAAGGAGTGGCTAGCCACGCTGCAGCCCTGCCTAGACCACGGTCCCCATGTAAGTGAACGTGCCACTCCTTTGGGCTGCCATACAGCTGTCGGTCCCCCCCAGAACATGCCCACTGCACCTTCACCACTGCCCCTGCTCACCATGCCCCACGCTCAGACTCCAAGTCCTTGTCTCTTTCCTGTGATCTCCGTCAGATGTCACCATCCGTGAATGTCTGCTCCAGCCCCGTCCTTGTCCCCGGCCACTGAGCCTACCTCAAACCCCAAGCCTGGGCACAGATCCTGTCCTTTCTTTTCGGGATGATGTCTCCATCCCTGGCTCCCCGGGGACCCCTCTTCCTGTTGGGGCCTTGTAGTCCCCTTTTATCTAAGTACAGGTTTTGGTCTAGTTGCCCCTCCCAGCTCTCCCACATCTGCTTCTGTAGAGCCCCCCACCCCCACCCCGTCCCCAATGTCAATGACAAGTTCTTATTCTGGACATAGCCGGGTCCTGAGCCCCATTGCAGGCTTTGGGGCACAGCCCAGTGACCTGGAGAGTCGAGGCAGGAGAAGGAGTTGAGCACAGGAAGACCGAGGAAGGCTCTTGCTGTGGGGTGGTAGGGTCAGCTTCGCTCACCACCTGCCTGTCCCCTCTGACGACACGGTCATGTCACAGCAGCAGGAGGCATCCCAGTCTCCAGCCCATGCCGGGCACTAGGGATGGGGTGGGGGTTTGTTACCATCTTTCCCTAGCGGGGAGGGCCAGGCTACAGCCCACTGTCCTGCGACCCTCTAGCAGGCGGTGACAGTGGAAGGCTGGGACCTCCTTTCTTCCCCATCCCAGGCTCTTCAAGTGTTTTGCCAGAACAAAGGACAGGCCAGCCTGGGACGAAGATTCCGGAGCTGAAACCAAAAACTTGGGCCGGGAAAGAGCTGTGTGCCGGGTTCCCCTCACGGCGGCCGTGGCCAGGGACAGGGAAGAGCCGTAATCAAATCCACATGTGACCAGCATAGCAGGCAGTGTGGGACCAGCTCTGTGGTGGCCTGGCCACCCCAGGTCCCTGCCCTCAGTCCTGGGGGCCCAACCACACAGCCTCGCATCCATGGGGGGGGGGTCTGAGGATATTCCCCAGCCCCAAGTTGGGACACTGGCCACCGTCATCCCCGAACCTACCTAAAAGAAGACCCTTAAAGCAACTTTCTACCTGGGGACCAGGGTAGCAAACCACAGCTGAGGACTAGAGGTGACAGCCACTTAGGAGGGCAACTCAGCTGGCCGGTGTGGGAAGCAGCTGGAACACAGAGTGACCGGTGACAGAGCATCTGGGAGCAGGGACGCTAGCAAGCTTGGTCCAATGTGTAGCTTGGTCAGCTATGGGCAGCCCAGAACCTTGAGTGATGGAACTGGACTCAGAGCCCCAGAAACCCCAGAATCCCATCTCCCATAAGATCCTCAGTCCACTTTAGCTTCTGAGACCCTGGAATGACCCAGAGGGTTCTGCGATGTCCATGATGTGGTCAGTGGCCAGAAAACTTTTCCTGTTAGTCTAACAGGAATTCTGCCATCCTCCCAATTGTATTCGGTGCCTGGAAGGGTCCGACATACGCAGACTGTGCAGCAAGCCCGCAGGTCCCCCTCCACCGGGCGTGGCAGGCTGGGCACCAGGCCACCTGGGTCCCGCCCCAGCTCTGCTGCCCTGGCCGTGACCTTGAGCCAGCCCGTCATCCCTCCCCACCTCAGTTTCTCCATCAGCTCCAAGACGATGGAAGACAACATTACTCACTTGGACCTCCCAGACTGCCCTTTGGTGCCTCAGTGTCTCTGCCGCTAAAATGCCCTGACCCAGACGCCCCTGGAGTCAAAGTGAGGTAGGAAGGTACGGTCCAACTTCCCCCAAGTTTATGTAGGGACCTCCGGCAGGACACACTCACAGACCCTGGGTCCTTAGAGTCACAGTCCTCCGCCTCCCAACCCCCCCCCCCCCCCCGCGCCACCTTCGGACCCCTAAGTGCAAAGATCTCCAGGGATCCCCCAACAACTCCTCAAGCCCTGATAGGTCCCGGAAGAAAGAGCACAAGAGATCAGGGAATCCTCCGAGTCCAGACAAGGAACTCAAGGGCTGCCCGACTTCTCAGGGGTGCAGAGTGGTTTCCCACCACCACCACCACCACCCCCCAAAATAAAAACTCTCCTGGAGCCCGTGGGCGCCCTGGGGGATGTGGGGCGCGAGTCTGCACGCGAGTGGGGCGCCCCGGAGAGAATGCACGGGGCGCGCAAGTCCTCCAAAGTCCGGGGAGCCGACACGGCCCCTCCCCGGGGACCCCCGGGGGCGCCCACCCCCCGGCGGTAGCCCGCCGGGGGCGCCTGGGCTGGGGCCTGGGGAGGCCGGCGGCGGCGGCGGCGGCGGGGGGCCCCCCGGGGGTCCCCGGCGCTGCGCTGCGCTCACCTGGGGTTGCTGCGGTTCCAGTACACGGCGTAGCGGTCGGCGTTGGCGCGGGCGGCGTCCTCGGCGCGCGCGCGCAGCGGCAGCAGCAGCAGCAGCAGCGGCAGCAGCGGGCGCTGCGCGGGCGCCATGGCCCCGGTCCGGCCGCCGCGCTCTCCGGCCGCCGCCTGCCCGCGTCTCCGCCTCCTCCTCCGCCGCCGCCGCCGCCGCCGCTGCCGCCGAGCGGGCGGGCGGAGCGCGCGGCGCGCTTGGAGATCCCCGCCGCTCCGCCTCCGCGCGCGCGCGGGCCAGCAGCGAGCGAGAGACCTCGGGCGCCGAGAACGCAGGCGGCGGCGCCGGTACCCCCCCCCCCCCCCGCCCCCCGGGCGCGGCGGACCGGGCCGCTCACCGACTCCCCCCGGCTCTGAGGAGGGGCCAGCTCCGGCCTTTGTCCCACCCGAGCTCCGGGAGGGTCGCGGGCGCCCCCTCCTGCCGCGCCCAGCCGTGCGGGGCTGGGTGGGGTGGGGTTCCAGTCTCAGCCGCGCCCCACCCTGGCCAAGACCCGCGCAGACTCAGCCTCCCCCTAGGGTCCAGCCCCCGCCGCCCACATCTGCGGAGAAGTGGCGGGAAGAAGTGCGGTTCCTTAGCTTGGCCGGGCCTCCTGAGTGTCTTGGGGAAAGCGACCCAGGCCTTCTGCAGGACCCCCTCCCCACCCCCCGCAGAGGCAGAGATCAAAGGACTCGCCCCCTTGGAACACTACGGACCACAGAATCTTCAATCAGCCCGGATCGGCTCTGAGCCCTCCCCCGGGGCCAGAGGAGAGCTTTGGCGTGGTTTGACCCAAGTCCACAGCTTCCTCTGAAGTCTGCACCTTCATGCCCTACATCCCAAAAGTCACTTTTCCCTCCTGGAATCTGGAGCCAATTTCGACTCTGGATAATCCAGCAGTGCCCACCAGAGCTCTGAAGGTGTCAGGCACACAGCAGGTGGCCCTGTAGATTGAGTCTGAGCAAGTTCAGAATGGATCCAAAAGTGTCCAGAGGGAGATCCAAGGTCAACAGCAAACAAACAATTCAACCTTGAAGCTGCTGGCTAGGGAGGATAGGAAAAACCAGATCTGTAATCCTAGCTACTCTAGAGGCTGAGATCTGAGGACTGAGCTTCGAAGCCAGCCAGGTCAGGAAAGTCTGAGAGACTCTTATCTCCAATTAAACACCAAAAGGCTTGCCTTGAATGAAAAAGCTAGGAACAGCATCCAGTTCAAGTCCCAGTACTGACACAAAAGAAAGAAAGAAAAGGAGAGAGAGAGGGAAGAGAAGGGAAGGGAAGGAAGGCCCTGGTAAAGGGCCCAACTTGGTGCATCACAGAATGACCTATCCTTAGTGGGCATGGTGGCTCACACCTGTAATCCTAGCTATTCAGAAGGCTGTAATCTAAGGATCACCATTCAAAGCCAGCCCAGGCAGGAAAGTCCTTGAGACTCTTATCTCCAGTAAACCACCAGAAAACCAGAAGTGGTTCTAAGAGCACTAGCCTTGAGCAAAAAGCTCAGGCTCAAAGCTCAGGCCCTGAGTTCAAGTCCCCATGACTGATAAAAAAAAGGAAAAAAAAAAAGAATGACCTGTTCTCTAGTCTTGCTCTTTTTTTCATGCCACAGGCTCTCTGGCCAGACCTTGTACTGTGGAGAGTCTGCTACCAAGTGCTGACTAGAAAATGCCTGTGGTGTCCACACCATTTCCCACCTCTCTGGATTTCTTTCCCTAGTTGGGCCTAGTGTACGGTATGGGAACCTCAGCCGAGGAGTCAAGAGCTCTTGGACACTGGGGAAGGTCATCTTTGCAGGGACAGAGAGCTCAGAGGTTGGCAAACTGATATGAGCTGAGCAAGGCAGGGATGGGTCTCTGAGGTATGTGTGGGCCTGTGTCATTTGTCCACAGAGCTCCCTCTCTATTCCTTGAATGCCATATCACCCAGCATTAAAACCCATGCTCAAGCCTGTAATCCTAAACCATGTAGAAGGCTGAGATCTGAAAAACAAGGTTCAAAGCTAACCTAGGCAGGAGACTTTTTTTTTTTTTTTTTGTCAGTCTTGGGGCTTGAACTCTGGGCTTGAACTCGGCCTGAGCTCTGTCCCTGAGCTCTTCAGCTCAAGGCTAGCACTCTACCACTTGAGCCACAGCACTACCTCTGGTTTTCTGGTCGTTTATTGGAGATAAGAGTCTCATGGACTTTCCTGCCTGGGCTGGCTTTGAATTGCAATCCTCAGATCTCAGCCTCCTGAGTAGCTAGGATTACAGGCATGAGCCACAAGCACTCAGTTCATGAGAATTCCCCCCCCCCCCCCCAATTAACCAGTGAAAAGCTGAAAGCAGAGATGTGGCTCAATGGTAAAATGTCAGGCTTGAGCAGAAAGAGCCTAGTGAGGGCATGAAGATCTGAGTTCAAATCCTAGTATGGACACACACACACACACACACACACACACACACACATACACACCACACTCTAAATATAAAATAACCATGCTCAAACCTGGAGGTGTTCTATCACCCCACCAGGATGAAATCCTCTTGACTTCTCTTCTCCAGGGCTCTCAGCTGGGCTGGCCTACGTGTTCTGGACTGTAGGTCTTGTCCCTTGATTTGACCACTGACATACCAGGGAAGGGCCTTCAGACAGACTGACCACTTGCAGGGAGGCTTTGGCTCCAGAATACTGGTTCCTAAGAAACTGTCTTGGGGAGGAGGGGGGGGGGTGTCTGCTTTAGATTTCTGGGAGCAGAGGTGCCTGCTGGACCTAAAGAACCTGTGGCTGCAAGTGTAGAGCATTCTGCCTGCAAAGGTGTGTGTTCAAAGTCCTCACCCCTGCCTGGGCCCAGGAGCCCTTCCTGCTGCATGGGACCCCTGGGTTGGGGAGGGGTGGATGGATGGTGGTCTTTGCTTTCAGAACCTGCAAGCCTTGACCTGGCAGGACCAGCCCCAAGGGCACTCAGGGATGGGACCACCTCAAAAGACCCAGCGGGCCAGCTCATTTGCATGCAGGGGCCACCAAGGCGAGATCTGCCGCTGCCTGCCACCGAGCGGATTTGAGCAGAAGCTCCGCTTTCCTTCTGTTCTTGTCTCTCTCTCAAGGTCAGAGCCCGAGCAGGGACAGGAACAAAGGCAGCTGTCCCCCATTCAACCTCCCCGCACCCGCTGGCCGCTCTTGAGGACCAGGAAGGGAGGGGAGGGCAATGCTTGTGGCTCCAGACCTGGCCCTGACAAGCTGCAGTCCAGCACGGTGGAGGCCCCAAAGCCCTGGCCCTTTGGGGGCAGGGGGCTGTCCCAGCCTGGAGGCTCAGCCAGCCACAGGCAGCTGGGATGAGGGGAGGTCATTCTAGATTAGGCTTCTTTTGCAGTCAAAGGTCAGAGGTCAAGCTTATTTTGGGGACAAGGGTCAGGCAGGGCCAGGGCTCACCAGAGACAATTGTTAGCCCCAGGACTAGATCTAGGACAGGCTGTTGATAGGATCCATTCCTGTTCTCCCAGAATCTGTCTTCTGCCTGGGTCTGTACCCTGAGGTCAAGAGTCCACCCCACACGCAGGAGGGTCTTCCCTAGCCCAGGCCCAGCCTGGCCCCTAGCCCCTGCCAGCAGCCCTCATCTGTCATTGGCCACCCAGCAACACCCACTCAATTGCCTCAGCCCACAGGGCAAGGCTGCAGGGGTTGAGATCAGGTGTGGCAGCCCCTCTGTCTTCAAAGGCCATAAAGCTGGAGAGGAGGCTAAAAATATGCAGGGAGAAATTTCTCATTACAGAATAAATTAAACCAAATCCAATGTCTGCTCTAGTGGATTCAGAAATCCTGGGGTAACCAGACAGGATGGGCTGGGAAAGGGGGGGGTACTGATAGGTCAGGAGGCTCTGGGCCCCCAAGGATTCAGGGTGGCCAGGCAGGGCAGAGTGGTTACAGAGTGCTGACAGGTCCAAGTGATGTCTATGGGAGCCCTAGTCTTTCTGGCTACTCAACCTGGGAAGTGGGAACGGGGTGGCTGGGTCAGTGTCCAGCTAAGCTGCCCCCATCTGCGAGCTAGACAGAATCTCAAGACTGCAGAAAATAAAGTGGTAGATCCTTCCTGTGAGGAAATGAAGTTCTACTCCAACATCTGGTACAGGACCGTAGGATTCCTGAACCGGACCACCAGCAACAACAGGCCCAACAGGCACATACTACTGCTGGTTTTCTACCCTCTCCTCTCATCTCACCTCCCCCTTCCTCCTCCTCCTGTCTGACCTTTCTACCACCCCACCCTACTCTCGTTCCAACCATCCTCCCTCCTATGGCCCATTTTCTTCTCCCATCTCACCTTCTTCCCTTCCTCTTCCTCCTCCTCCTCTTTTTGGCTCAAGACCAGGCTTTGGTATTTGACACTTACGATAATTAGCTGGCATTCTACCATCTGAGCCACATCTCCAACCTCTTCCTTCTCTCTTCTTAGCCTTCACGTAAGGCTCTCCCTACCTTCCTCCCTCTTCTTTTCCTTTCTTCCTCTTTGGCAGAACTGGGATCTTGAACTTGACACTGCACTTGATTGCCTTCCTCAGCTGGTCCTCTACCGCATGAGATATGCCTCCAATCTGACTTTTTGCTGGTTACTTTAGAGCTAGACTCTCACAGACTTCTCTGCCTGGGCTGGCCTTGAACCACAATCCTCCAGATCTCAGCCTCCTGAGAAGCTAGGATAACAAGTGTAAGTCACAGCCCCCCCATCCTCACCCTCCCCACCCCCGCCCCAGTCTCCAGGCCTTTGATCACAGGCTCATCCTTCTGAGGCCTCTCCTGGCCCTTCAGCCAGCATGTCCATACCTTCCTAGCTAAGGCCAAGGTACATTACATGGTGATGCTGTTCCATGCAGGACCCATACACCACTCCGAACTGCTGGGGCCAGGAATTTTGATTCATGTAATCAAGCTGTGTGGCTCCCGTGATAGTGTTTCTTAAAGCCATGTGGGGCTATATATGTGGGGAATCACCAGTGCCAAGAGCAGACACTGGCAGCTGTGTGGCAGCAGGGGTAACTTGGGGCTCCCATGGGGTGAGATGGAGGCCCAGTTGAGCCCCTAGAGAGGATAAGGGATGAAGGACAATGACCCAATGACTCCAGAGAGGAGCC